TAAAGTTCTTGCTGAATTGTAGCATTTTAATAAGTTATTTTAGCCAATTATAAAATAAAAATGATGATTAGGGGAACACATAAAATAGTTTTGCCTCAAGCACTCTAAGATATATATCTATATAAATATCTATAGATATATAGAAATATAATGTGTATTTACATACACTCACAGTACATTCGTCCTTACAACAACTCAATTATTCATACTTTACAGGTGGGGAAAGGAAGGCACAGAAAGGCTAAGTAAGTGAGCAAGATCACACAATTTATAAGGGACTGTGTCAAGCTAGGGACTATTTTTTTTTTTCCTTACGAGCTATTTGAAGTTCAGTTTACATGCATAAAATTCATCCATATTAATGTATAATTCGATGAGTTTTGACAAGTTTTACAGAGGTGTGTAACCACTACTATAATCTAGTTGAGAACATTTTCATCACTCCAAAAAGATCCCTCCTGGTTTTAAAGTCAATCCCTATCTAAGCCCCCAGCTCCAGGAAACCACAACTATGCTTTATCTATAGATGTCTTTTCTGGGCATTTCATAGAAATAGAATCATACAACATGTTATTTGCACTGGAATTGCTTTAATTAACAAAGTTTTTGAGGTTCATCTATACTGTAGCACACATTAACTCATATTGCTTAATAGTATTTATTATATAAATATACTACATTGTTTATCCATTCATCAGTAAGACATTTGGGTTGTTTCCATTTTGGGACTAGTATAAAAGCTGCTGCTATTAACATCTGCATACAGTTTTTGTCTGTGGAGACAAATTTTCAATTCTCTTGGTTAAATACCCAGGATGAGAACTTCATTTATATGGAAAATTTATGAATAACATTGAGAAGTGAAAATCTTTTCCAAAGTGGCTGTGTCATTTTACATTCCATCAACAATGTATGAGGATTCTGGTTTTTCACATCCTCACCAACTTACTAGAGTTCCAGATCTCCATCACTACCTTCTACACAGCCTTTCATTGACCATGTAGATATGTCACTGAATGTTAAAATGAGAGGGAGGGAGGAGTTAAGTGAATGGAGAAATGAAGGAAAGAGATCCTTACACTTTTTCAAAGATAATCAAGTATATTTCACTTGTATTCTGTTTTAAAAAATAAAAGTAAAAAAAAAAAAAAATTAGAGTAATTTTTGTTCACAAAAAAAATTACGAAGGTAAAAAGATTTCCCATATAACCCCTGCCCCACACAGCAGAGCCTCCCCTATTATCAACATCCAGAATATACCAGAATGGTACACTTGTTACAACTGATGAACCTACAATGATACATCATTATCACCCAAAGTCCATAGTTTACATTAGAGTTCACTCTTGGTATGTGCATTCTATAGGTTTGGACAAAGGTAAAATGACATTTATCTACTATTATATCATACATGGAGGTTTCACTACCCTAAAAATTCTCTGTGCTCTGCCTATTCACCCCTCCCTCCCTCTTTAATCCCTGGCAACCACTTAACTTATAAATATCTCCATAGTTTAGTTGGAATTATACACTGTGAAGTCTTTTCAGATTGGCTTCACTTAGTAATATGCACTTAAGTTTTCTCTATGGCGTTTCATGCCTTATTTCCTTTTAGCAATAAATAATATTCCATTGCTTAGATATAGCACAGACTGTTTATCCACTTACCTAGTACAACACATCTTGGATGCTTCCAAGTTTTGGCATTATGAATAAAGCTACTATAAGTATCCATGTGCCAGTTTTTGTGTGGACATGAGTTTCAATTCCTCTGGGTAAATACTAAAGAGTGTGATTAATGAATTGAACTCTATGTTAGAGTGTATTTAGTAAGAATATGCTTAGTTTTGTAAGAAACTGCCAAACTGTCTTCTATAAACAAAGATAGTTTTATTTCTTCCTTCCTAGTCAGCATACCTTTTATTTCCTTTTCTTGTCTTATTGCATTATCTAGGGTTTCCAGTAAAATGTTGAAACACAATAGTGAAAGGAGCATCCTTGCCGTGTTCCTAATCTTATTGGGAAAGCTTCAAGTTTCCCACCATTAAGTATGATGTTAGCTGTAGGGGGGTGTGTGTGTGTGTGTGTGTGTGTGTGTGTGTGTATTAAATCAAGTTGAGGAAGTTTACCCTCATTCCTAATTGACTGAGGATTTCTTTTTCATGAATGGGTGTTATATTTTATTTTGCAAATACTTTTACTACATCTATTGATATAACCTTGTGATTTTTATGTTTTAGTCTGTTGATGTGATGGATTACATTAATATATTTTTAAATGTTAAAACCAGCCTTGCATACCTGGGTTCAATGCTTCTTGAGTTTTTCATAACCACATTCTTATCAGCTTTTCATCTTGCAGTGGAAACACTTTTTTACAAGAAACTTTGTGTTTTTGATGATTCAGCTTTACAAATTCTGATGTGTGCATTGATGAGAAAGAAAAAAGGTACATAGGACTATACTGATGGAAAAAAAGTACAGAATGGGAAGAGTTTGTTACCATGATTTAACTTGAAAATGTCATAAAATTATGGGTCCATTATTTTCTATCCTAATATTTTGGCCCCATTTTTATGATATTAGAATGTGAGATATAACTGGTTTAGTACTAGAGATGTCAAAGCTATGTCTTAAAAATGCACATTCCATATGATCCACTAAATCTACTTCTAGGTATTTTCCACAGAGAAATGAGAAGGAGAGCACATGTCCATTCAAAGACTTGTACATGAATGTTCACATCAGCTTCATTTGTAGTAGCCCCAAATAGAAAATAATCCCAAAGTCTATCAATAACTGAATGGATACCATGGTATATTCATGTGATGTAATTCTACTCAGCAATAAAAAGGAATGAATTATTGATACATGTTACAACATGGGTGAATCACAAAAAAGAGTACCAGACTGTATGAATCCATTTATATAAAATTCTAAGAAATACTACCTAATATGTAGTTTCAGAAAGCAAATCAGTGCTTGACTGAAGAGGGTGTAGAGAATGTCAGCAGGAAGGGACTAAAAAAAGAGACGAGAAAAATTGGGGAATGAATGATATGTTCATTTCTTTGATTGCAGAGATGGTTCCAAGGGGGTTTACATATGTCAGTACTTTTGTACATTTATAAAGATCATATTAAAATATTTTTTATATTCCTTTAAGTTTCTTCTTTTAAAATGAGCCAATAGTCATTAAAGGCTAAAAAGCAAATCCTTTGCCGTTATTACGTATTATATTAGTAAATCTTATAAAGATCAAATTATCCCTCTGTTTATAATTTCTACAACAGAAAGATATACAATGAAAATGAATTAAAAATGTACTGTATCAGTTTGATGCTACATTGTTTGTTAGCAAAAGTTGTTAACCAAAAATCCTGAGAGGTACTGAAAGTCAACATATACAAAAATCAACTCCAAGACAGATTACTGTTTTCTTTGTCCACACATAAAATTAGTTCATAGTTCACAAGTGACCAAAAGCACTATGGGATTATTATGTGCAACCAAACAAGAGTATGTGTGGTAATATACTTGGAAAATTATATACAATGAATTATACACACACACACGATAATACTATATCACGGTTATAAAATCAAACAAAGATCATTTTTCTTTTTCTTTTTGTACGTGCCCCTAGCGGGAACCAAACCTGGGACTCTCTGGTCCGCAGGCCGATGCTTCAACCACTGAGCCAAACCAGCCAGGGCAAGACTATTTTTCTAAACAGCCTTTTTCACATAAACATTATATATAACTAAATTCCATGTGTAACCACTCTGTAATAATTTATCTTTTTTAAAAACGTTGGTTGACATTTTCTACAAAACAGCAAAGTATTATAGACTTTAAAAATACTGAGTATGTGTACATGTTCTCTGTCATCAGAAAAATGTTAAACAAAATCCTTGGAAACTTTATGAGGAGAAATCAAAGAGACTGAACATACAAAAGTAATAAAACATGACATTAAAATGTCATAGAAAGAAACTACATCAAACTGAAAAGTTTTTGCACAGCAAAGGAAACCAACAAAATGAAAGGAAAACCCACTGAATGGGAGAACATATTCACCAATTTATCAGATAAGGGGTTAATATCCAAAATATATAACTTATTCAACTCAACACACACACACACACACAAAAGGGGGACAAAGAACCTAAATGGGCACTTCTCCAAAGAGGACATACCATGGCCAATAGACATTTGAAAAGATGCTCAATGTCACTAATCAGAGAAATGCAAATTAAAATCACAATGAGATCACACCTCACACCTGTCAGAATGGCTATTATCAATAAATCAACAAATAACAAGTGTAAGAGGATGTAGGGGAAAAGGGAACCCTTGTAAACTGTTGGTTGGAATGCAGATGGGTACAACCACTGTGGATAACAATATGGAGTTACCTCAAAAACTTAAAACTAGAACTGCCTGATGACCCAGCAATTTTGCTTCTGGAAATTTATCAGAAAAAACCTGAAACACTAATTTGAAAGAATATATGCACCTCTATGTTCATCGCAGCGTTATTTACAATAGCCAAGAAGATTTGAAAGCAGCCAAAGTGTCCATCAATAGATGAGTGGATAAAACAGCTATGGTACATTTACACAATAGAATAGTACTCGGCCATATCAAGGAAAAGTATACCCTTTGCAATAGCATGGATGGACCTGGGAACATCATGCTAAATGAAATAAGCCAGTCAGAGAATGACAAGTACCATATGATTTCACTCGTATGTGGAATTTAAAGAACAAGCCAAATAGAGTCCCGTAGTAGAGAGCAGGCACACAGCTGTTGGGAGGGGGGTGTCTTGTGAGGGGATGGGGTGAAGGGATTGAGCAACAAGGGAAAAAAAAAAAGAAATAACTCACAGGCACAGACAACAGTGTGGTGACTGGGGGGAGGGGGATGAAAGAGGATAAATGGTGATGGAAATAAAAAAATTTTTAAATGTCATTGAGGAAACCTCTAAAATGTCATTACCTGGAATCAGTTCCATAATGATGTAGATAGGCTGTCTTTGTGTACAAACTCCTATAAGTTTGACAATATTGGGATGATCGTATTGCTTGAGAATTCTAGATGAGAAAAAGTGTAATCAAAGAATAATTATTTAAATAATAAAGCATCACTTTATGATCATAAATAGTGTATACAAGTAGAATACATATCAATATAATTCAATTTTTAAAACTTCAGTATGAACCCAAATTATGATAAATGAGATCTATATGAATTTTGATAAATACTGGCAAAATATAGGCACAAATGAGTCCATTATCCTTAATTCAATTAAATATTCACTTAAAAATTATTATCTACATTGAATGACTAACAACCATGCTAAATAGGAATAACTTATTTAGTCTAAAACATGTAGAACTCCCTTCAAAATATCTGAGTTTAGCCACCACACAAAAGCATAGATGAAAAGTACTAGTACCTCAAAACTGTAAGTTGCTAGGGTAGCATCTTTTTGTTTTGTTTTATGTACACATTTGATTTAACACACATAAAAATAATAATTCAATTCATGTGAATAAATACCACTGGGTATTCCTTTCATTAGATTTTGTCGTAAGTGCTTTTTTGATGATCATACTCAATTTCAAAATAGTAAAAACTCCAAAGTTTTGAGAAAGCTGTCAAAAGATTAAACAGTAGCTGAGTAACAGAATTTCTGTAATGACTTAAGCTGAAGCAGAGAAGACTTAGTTTGGATAAGGCAAAATCTCAGAGGGCTATAAAATAGCAGTCATCCCTGGGACTCCAAGCTTGAGTTCAAGTAGATTAGATTCCCTCACAGGCCTGTCTACCCTGATGATTTCTATTACCAAACTGTATCCCATATCATCCTACTGAAATAGTTATAAGTTCACTTATATTTGAAAGATGCAGTTTTCTTTCCTAAGAGAATGAAAAAATAACTTTATTTGGAGAAAGATTAAACAATTGATATACATTTTGTACCTGTACAACTAAAGCAGACATAGCTCTAAGAAAAATGTTTTATATTGAAAATACAGAATAATTTATAAATAAGAAGATAAACTGGGGATAATTCTAGAGATAAGGAAAATATTTTGACAATAACTTTGAGTTTTCAACTTCTACAAGGAACTAAAAGGGAAGTCTGAAAATGTTTGACTTGAATCCAAAATGTCATTTCTGAGGCTGGAAAGTGCTTAGTAAGGAAATTCCAAAATACAGCCAGCCTGAACTCCAATAACATTAAATATCTAAATATCCAGTTCTATTGTCAATTAAAGGAGCTTAGGAGTTTTGCATGAATACAATTTTCCTTTTTAAAATAAAACAATCTTACTTTAGAAGAGGAAATGAAACCTTCCATTTTGCAATAATACAATCACAAATTAGAAAAGCTAAATTAAAAAAATTAAATATTTCTGAAAATGTTAGATATAACTTGTACCATAAGAATACCTACCTATGAATATCTATAAAATGATAAACCTATGAATTTCAATTGTGATAGCATACCTTTAAATTTTCAGAGTATATTTTCTAAGTTGCCAATAATATACATGAAACAGGTTTTCAACTTCAGTCTATAGGTAATATTTAATAAATGCATCACACTAGTTTACTCTATTGCTATCAATATTCATTTTTAGATAAATGGAGAAATGCTCATCAAAATGAGCCATGTCATGCATGGGATTTAGTCCCTAATTGCCATGTCCTCTGTTCTCTGTGATACTTTACAAAAACTTCAATTTTATACACTAAGCCTTGATGGAGCCACACATCCCTTCCCCACCCTCCATACACACACCTCTCCCTCCCTCCCAGCCTCCCTTTATACCAATACTCTATAGATCCACGCATTCTCCTCCTCTCCCATCCATCCATCCATCCATCCATCCATCCATCCATCCCCTAGCCAAATGTCTATCCTCACTCTTCCTAAAGCACCTTTCAATTTGTTTTGTGTTTTGTTGTATAAACTAGGTATTACCATTCACAGAATAGTTTTAACTTTCTGCAATACAGGGGTAGCATTGGAACATTAAATGTCAGCTAATAATAGGAAAAAGGAGACAATCATGCTAGAAGACCAATTAGAAAAGAAACAATATGCAAATTTTGGAACAAATGCCAGATACTAAAAGAAGACATTTGAGGTTCTTAGAAAAGAAAGCTAACAGATAGAAAAAATAACCAAGTGATAATATCTAAGTAAGTAGGAGAAATGAAATCATATCTAAATATTTATGTATAGTATATATCTAAATATTTATGTATAGTATATAGAGAATGCAGTAATATTTTTGTATTCTATATATAAAATATATACTACACATATGCATACATACATATATGCATATGTGAAAAAAGCAAAATAATATTGCAATATTTTTTTAAGGACTTGACAAATACTCAGTTTTTTTTAGCATCTGGTTCTTTTCACTGTGATTGCCTAACAGATCTACAGTCTAACTCAAAAACAGAAACTTTTGTTTTTCCATTATATAGTGCTTACTTATGTAAGAGGCCTCTTAACGTGCTTATTTTTACTTCAGCAAATCATAATTTATGATAGCCTTACACTTACATTGTAGTGGATCACTTTTATTATAAATACACATTGTACATAACCTTAAAGAACTCACTTGGCTTCTTGTAAAAATTTTATTTTCAGTTCCTGAGGAAGATCTTCTTTACATGTTTTAACAGCAACAGCAGTTTTATCCTTTAATATGCCCTTATATACTTCACCAAAATTTCCCTGAAAATACAAATACATTTATTGTCTGAGATATAGGACAGTGACCAAACCCTCACAAAATACAAGAGAAGCATATGATGATGCGTTCTGAGTTAACCAAAGTCCTCTTAGCATTACTCCGAGTTTGAAGAGGAAAGCAAGACTGGGAACGTGTTCTTACCAATCCTCTCCACTTTAAATACACTACTCAGCACACCAAACATTTAGAGGCTTGAGGCTTGAGGACAATTGAACAGGAAAAGATTCAAGAAAATAGGATCAAAGGAGAAACTCAAATTGACACTGTCAGAAGTACCCATGTTTCATTACATTTAGTTCCCTTTATCTGCATTTTATTAAAAAATTTAAAAGTATCCATTAATTTTGAGAGATCAAGCAGAGATTCTGCAAGGTGACTGAGGGTACTGAGCCACACAGCCCCAAGTCAGCTGGAGAAGAGCCAGAGAGTAAGAACAGGGGAGGGCAGCAGAACCTAGGGAAATGAAGGACTGTCAGCCACTGCCGTGCGCTGTCAGTCTCTGGAAGGTCACGAAGAGGAGGTTCTTATCCAAATGCCCATTTCCCTCGTGATAAATCCATTTCTATCCAATATATGAACTGCTAACCTAATTCTATGGCTAAAATGTATTCTGACTTAAAATGCCTAATTTCAGTTTGCAGTCATTTTTCTCTTATTATAAACACAAAAAATTAGAGAAGCCATAAGGCTAACACAACAATTATTTTTTAGTATCCCCTTCAAGTTTTTCTATGTATGCTCATACATTTTTTTATAGTTATAATAATAATATGCAAGCACTATAATAAGCTTCAATGCTACTGTCGTTGAACAAGAAATCGCTGAAGTAGGAGTCTGCTAGTTATTGAGTTTGAGTTTTAAGGTCAATGCAACACTTAACCAATAGTTCAAGGTATTTAAATTTTACATTTTACTAATAAATAATTTAACATTACTAAAAGACAAAATGTTTTTGAATATTTTAAGTATTACTTAATACTTCACTTAATTTTAAAATTTTTATTTTTCTTACACTTAAAATACACTTAAATATTTAAGTAATAAATAGTATTCATTATTATTAAATCTAATATTCAACTCAAATATTTATTAAAAACAATGACTGCTTATCTTCATGAAAAGTAATCATACTATGAATTCAACATAATATACAATCATCATAAGCTAGAAAGAAGAAAATTTCAGCTTTATATCCTTCCATGTTTGTTATTCTCAAGGTTCCCCCACACACAATGATCAGGTCATTAATACATCAGAGATATTAATATACAGAATTACTGCTGAACCTCTACTTATTGGAATGATTCTGAAGCACTTAGAATTTATCTTGTCTGAAACGTAACATTTTACTCAGACTTTTCCTCACTAAATTACTCTGATTCACTATGACTATCACTCTCTCTGCAAGCATCCAGATTCTCCCTCTGCAACACTTGTGTCTTACTCCTCGCCTCTCAGAAAGGCTCTCCTGATTCAAGATCTTAACTTTTTCACCTAAACTAATCTGTCAGTCACTCACCCCTTCAATCCACCCACCACAGCACTGCCAGATTAATCTTTCCAAGACACAATTTACTTCCTTACTCAAAACCCATTCTTCAATTACCATATCTTTCTCAGCCTCTGTCTAGCTCCATAATATGGCCTTCAACTGTTACACCTGTCCTAAACTGTTACACGTGTCCTAAACACAAAATACGTGCCATGTCTTTTCTACATTTTTATCCTCCCTGGAAACCATACCCCACCTCCATTCAGGGAATATGCTACTTAATTTTTAAGTTCATTCCTTAAGTACCCTTCTTCTGAAGATTTCTTGATCTTCCCAAAATTATGTATTCTGTTACTGAACACTCATCATCCCGTTGCCCCTTTGCAGTTTTCTAATGGTTTCTGCCCTACACAACACGTCTTGGCACATATTTGGCATTCAAAAATTTTAAACATTCATTCAACAATCATAACCCTATCAGAACTTCAATTCAGTTAACAATGGTCAAGGGGACTCTCCAAACGCTGAGAAAAACACCAGACTTCCCAGAACACCTCTTCTCCATCCAAAGAAGTCAGGAGGGAGCCCAGGATACCTACACTCCCTATCACAGGCACAGCTTCATCTCTGCTGCTGACTTTAAGTCTATAAAGCTAAATATTATGTCTCTTGTCTATTTTTATGTCATTCCTCATAAGATCTTGGTCATAGGTTAATTCCCATCTCCTTCTTTAAATCCTTATTGGATTCTGTAGACTTCAAGTCAACGCTCTATATCCAACTTCCCCCTTCAATCCCCAACTTCCACTGTGCCTTCTGGAATCCATGATTCATCATTACAAACATTTTACCTTCATTGTATTTTTGGTCATTCTCTGCACCTTCTTGTTCCAACAGAAACTTGGTTCTCACTAGAAAACACTCCAACGGTGGCAGAGTTTCCTTTTGTCTAACATTAAGTGATGACTCCCTCACCCAATCCTTCTCCCACAGCCCTGGAGATGAAATAAAGTATTCTACTAGCTCCTTGTCAATGTTTCCAAAACATTTTTCTTCCTGCATTCCTAAGGAGAAACACCCAGCTTTTAAGTTTTATCACGTGATTATATACCAACTGACCGACTGCCCTTTAGTATGGCTATCAGCTATTGAATTTGAAAATATTTTCCTTGATTTATTGACAATCTGAGCTCCTGATCAGTACACTCAGGGTTACCCCTCTCTTAATTCTTGTCAATTTCAACACTTAAAAATCCTTGCAAAAGTTCAAACTCAGTTTTTTTAACATCTCTCTTTCAATGATCTTCTGTTTCAAACTATTTCTAGAAGCATACCTTAAACTTTGCCATTGCCAATAATGTAACTCCTCTACAATATCTATTTCATTTTATGGCTGGATTCCATTTTTCTAGCTTACATCCTCTGGTATCTAGACTACAAAAATCCTTTCACTCTGTAAGAATCTCAGAATCTTTAGATCCTATTACTTTTCATTGTTCATCACCCCTTTAATATCCTTTCTTCCTTCCTTCCTTATCCAGCTTAAATTCCCTGGTCAATAATTACAACTGCTTACCATACATTCTTAACTTTTTCGTTCCTCTTAATCTGTAGAACACCGTTGTCAAATCCACAGACGAATTAAATACAACTCTCTGCCTACTCTGCAGCTAATGTGACGGAAGAAAAGCTACCACCCTGTTGACTGGTTTCACTTTAAATTCATGAGCACAAACCTCCTTAATGCTACCCGATAACCTTGTTACAGTTGTCTAGACAATTCACTCTCTCATTCTTCTAAATAACTGTTTTCCCCTTCTACTCTTTTCTTAAATCCCCTATTCTTCTTCCATCCTCATTCTTGTCCAATAATCTTGCTTCCTACTTCATTGAGAAAACTGAAGCAATCTAGAGAGAACGTCAAGGCTCTCAGCCCCATTTACCCATCTTTCCAATCTTCCTTGAGGTTATAAAAATGAACTATTTTGTTTTTATGAAAGTCAATTCTCCATTGTAAACTAAATACCCTCTTACCTACTCAATGACATTATTCCACCAATTTTCATCTCTCCCTCTCAAACCATAAATTTGTCACTAGATCATTCCCACATGCAAACCAGCATGCCTACAAGACACTACATAACCTACATCCTCACCACCTCACTATTCTTCCTTGCTTCCTCAGTTTCCACCAAATGATCTCTCTTGCTCGTCATATGAAATGTGCACTGGTTACTCCCTTCCTAGATGTCCACATGGCTAAAGCGATCATCCTCTCCAAGTTTTTATTTGAAAGGAACAATTTTAATAAGGTTTACCCAAAATTCCTTATTAAAAATTGCAAGTTTTACTAGTGGCACTCCTAAACTCCCTTTATTTTTCACAGGACTCAGCACCCTTTAAAAGTATACAATTTAGTATTTGTTATGTTTATTGTTCATCAGCCTCCCCCTGTGAGATAGAATAAAAGCTCCATCAGGGCAAGGATATCTGTCTGCTTTGTTCACTGATCTATCACTAGTACCTAGAAGAGTAGCAGTCAATCTTCAACAATGTGAGGACAGAATAAAATATTTATTAAATACCAACTATACATCAAGTACGGTCTACTAAGAGTATAGTATTCAATAAAAAAGTTAGAATTCCTGTCTCAACCTTATATTACTACTAAACTCCAAAGACTATAATGTAGAAACTATGGCTAATTCTCTTTTACTCATGCATTCTCAAGCAGTATACTGTAAGTATTTATTCAGAATAGGTAGTGAAAACATTAAATGACAAATCATTTTCTACTCAAAAATATTAGTTAAAATCAAGCTATACCATTATCTTTGAAGTTGTAGTCTTTTATTAAAAATGATTAAATTATTTTTGAAACTGGTATCATGCTACTGCCATGTCACTGAGATAATTAATTATTTTTTGAAATACCTTTACTAAGAAAATATTCCTCCTGATATTCCTCTTCACATATTAAACTAAACATAAATAATTGAAATATTTGTTTTAACTTAAAGTATTTTTTCCTGAGTACTAAAAATAAAAATCCATCCTCCTAAATACATTATATTTCAGTAATTGGTTTAATTTTACAATTTATTATTTAATTATATTATCATGGAAATTTGTTTAATTTCTTTGTAATAATTTTTGACCCAATCAGAGCTACTGAGTTACTGATCTACAGTAAGAGGAAGAAGAAATATTTCCTTACTAATGGCCAGCATATCACAGAAGAAATAAACACATTAGCTAATGCTTTTAGCTTAAAATGCTTTAGAATTTACTTACTAAATAAGTATTTGCAGTCAATAGAAATGGCTAGCCAACAGCAATTTCATGCTTCTATTTGGAAAAGATATTTTAAAATACTAATAAGAATCCTGCAAAGTAGATCATTACAACAGGGATTTACTTTCTTAAAATACATCCCCGTTAAAAAATAGAAAAAGTGTGTCAATTCATCAAGTTTATATTTAAAACAAAAAAGTAATGAATAATCTTTTTTTTTTACTTAAAATGCTGAGCTTTATGTCTAGTACTGATAACTCAGAAATATATTAGTGCTAGTTTTCCCAAAATATCTAGATTTTACTCTATTTTTCAAATTGCATTATGAAACTAAATTCAAAATTTCAAATGGGAACATCACTAATTAAATCACTGACAGAGAAGTTAATATTACCCACCGGAACACAATTATAAATAAACAATTGATAAATTTGCAAGTAGTCAATTTGTTTATCAAATGTTTGACATTATTGTTAGACATAATATACTTTCAAATGGCCTATGAATTGAAAGAAACTCCCAACTAGATTAGAAGAAAGGGACTTCCATCATATATATCTGTCCTCTCTAACCACTAATAGAGCCAGCTACAAAATGTTTATTCTGAAATGTGTCTTGTCCATACAATTTAGATAAAATAATGTGTCCAGTGCTGTAACATACTATGACTCTATACACAATCTTGAAATCCCAAAGAGTAGTATTCTTCATTTTCTGAACTATCATGTACAAACAGAAACAAATATAAAAAGACTACTAAGTGTCTATTTAAACTTGCATTACTTCAGTTTCTTTTCAAATCTCAGCTCACTATTTTTGGCTTTACTACACTGTTATAAAATCATTATGGCTTTTAATCCATAGGAAAACACACACTATTTTTTAAAGTCAAAGATCATCCTTAAACCTTTCAAAGATTCTCACACATCTGTTTCAGTGAACATCCCAGTGCTTGTAACAGACTGGTTCTGTGCTCTTCCAGGTTACTGTGGGAAGGTGCCCTGTGTGCTGGAACATACAGCGGTTTTGAGGAAAATGAAGCATCTATAGAGTTCACAACCACTACCAAGACGGTCAGTTATTTAGCTCAGTTGATTACATACCTTGCCCAGTAATTCTCCCAAAGTAACATCTTCATGATTGAGAACCCATTTCTTATCCTATGACAAAGAAAAAGAACAGTTGTTCAGCCCAAGTAAGAGTACATTTCCTGTAAGATGCACTTGAGGTAGTGGGAAATAGACCTAAGGGGACACTTCATTCAAATCATTCAATCTACAGCACACTAAGGAGTTGTAACCTCAGGAGGCTATAAAACAGATTTAAGAAATGTTACTATACAATAGGATTTTAAAATCTACATTATGGCAACTTCCGTCAGAAATCTTAGCCATCGCAATGACGGTGTCCCTGCAACCAGGACACAGCAGGCGCTTTGCTCCCGATAAAGCTTAGGTAATGCGATTATTCGTCATTTCCGAAGAGTTGTGTCATAAGTACATGAGAGAATTTCATGTTACAATGCAAAATATCCAATTCTCACTCGGTCATAGAGAATTCTTTTCTACCCAAACCACATTACTAAGAGCTAATTTTTCCACATATAAACTGGACCCGAGTTATAGCTGTTTATGACACTGTATGTAGCCCCACAGTTTTCCTCAGTAATTTCCTGTAGTATAATAAAGAAACAAAACTAGTATAATAAAGAAATAAGACCAGTGATGCAAACATGCCATTATAAAGCATCTCATTATATGATCTCAAGAACAAATGACTACTTAGGGATAGTTCATCATCTAAAGATTCCCAGCTATTAAATCACATAATACCATAATGTTTTAAGGCATACAGATTAAAAAATAAATAAAAGAAAAAAGAAATGAAGCAAGAAAAAGGAGAGGGGGATGGGACAGAAAAACAGGAGGACGCAGGCAAAGAGAGAAGGACAAGAAAATCCTGGCGTGATCTATTTTACTAATGATTTGTTTTTAATTAATGTTAAAATGTAGTATTCCCCTATTACACTTGGTGAAATGTAATTAAGATCCATAGAATGAGTTGTAACAAGCAAGCAAACATCTTGAAGTAAAAAGCCACCCTAACTAAGATTTAAAGTGTTCCGGACAGTCATTTGAAGTACTTCACCTTCAGGAACACCACATGACAGACGAACACTCAACCACCAGAGGGAAAAACACAGATTTAAATAAACGATAGTTTACATGTAGAATCTTTCAATCTAAACACAAAGAGCTATAAAGGACCTGGAAGAAATAGAGAGGAATATCTTCACAACCAAGTGAGTAAGCAAAGATTTTAGATAGACACAAAAAGCACTGATGATAAAAGAAACAAACAATTGCAATTCATCAAAATTAGAAACATTGTTCTTCAAAGGCATCATTTCTTAAAAATGAAAAGGCAAACTACAACCTGGGAGAGCATTTTTGCAATGCATATATTGATACATGATTTGTACGTAAACTATACAGAGAAATCATACCTCAATAACAAGATGACAACAACCCAATTTCAAGATTTTCGGTAAAAAATATTAAGAAAAGAAGATGTGCAAATAGACAGCAAGGACATCAAAAGATGTTTAAGATCATTGGTCTTCAGTGACATACATATATAAACCACAATTAGATGCTATTTCATACCTATTAGAATACTACAATTAAAAAGATTAACAATACCATAAGATTGCAAGGACGTGGAAAAATTAGAGTCCTCATACACTGTTAGTGAGTATGCAAAATGGTACAATTATTCTGAAAGACAATTTGGTAGTTTCTTCCAGTTAAATATACATCTACTTTATGATTCAGAAATTCACTCGTAGGTATAAACCCAAGAGAAATGGAAACATATCCACAAAAAGACCATCAAAAAACTGTTTGAGGTGACTGTATTTATAATAGCCCAAAACCGGGAACAATCCCAATGTCCAGCAAAAAAAGAATTGGTACACAAATTTTGGTGCATTCAGACAATTAATTACAATTCAGCAATACATAGAAATTTACTAGGAATACATAGAAATTTACTAGGGATAGGCAGAGCATTTCCAAAACATTTTGTGGAGCTAATAATAAAGCCAGGTATGCTCTATATACATGCATACATACATAATGAGTCAATTTATTATCAGTTTCTAGAGATGGACAATTACATCTGCAATGCCATAAATCAGAGCAGTGTGTGCCTGAGGCAGGGGCTGGGGAAGATTGACAGTGAAGGGAAAGGAAGGAACTTTGGGAGTTATGGAAATGTTCAACTTCTTGATATTTCATTGAACTATACTTTTAAAACCTGTACACTTTATTGTATGTAAACTATATATCCACAAAGTTTCTTTGTTTTGTTTTGTCAAAAAGCAAGTATAAAAAATGCTGCTTTCCACTTGAATAGCACTTTGGGGTTTAACTTCCCCGCCACATATTATTAAAAGCTATTCCTCAAAGAATGTAGTTTGTCAGGCAAGAAAGTTATTATTTTAAAATTGCAAAACTGATTTGTTCAGAACTTTATCACTTCAAACATGGTAAATAGGTGGATCAGACCAACACCCCACTGCAAACCACTGAACGAGCTTAATGAAAAGTAAAAACAAAAACAAACTTCTGTTTGAGAGGACGACTGACTCTAAAATAGTGAAGAACTAAAGGGCTATGTTTAGATTAAGAAAAGAAGTCAAGTCAAGTCTGTTTGGACTACTTTTACCTTAAGTATACTGATTGTGAAAGCAGCAGCAAATAGGCTAAAAAAAAAATATTTACAGGGGAACAATAATCAGAAAGACTGAAGTTTTACTATCAGAAACCAGGAGGTCAAGAACAAGTGGAACAACATTTTTAAGATAGAAACAGAAAAAGCTGTCAAATTCAGGTTTCTATATCCACAAAAATATCTCTCAGGAATGAAGGTAAAACAAAAATATTCTCAGACAGAGGAAAACTAAAAAATTAGTTGCCAGTAGGCTTGCTAAAAGAAGTTGTCTAGCCTGAAGGAAACTAGAGATATGAGGAATAAAAAAATAAGAAAAATGGTAAATACCTGAATAAATAAATATAATAGACTTTTCTTGAGTTCCTTAAAATGTGCTCAAGTAGAAAGAAAGTCATAACATTTTCTGATGAGTTTTTCAATGGACGTAGATGCAATACATACATACAACCAAGAGGGGGAGGCATGCAGATCCCTAAGGTGATGTTTCTGAATTCTACTTGGTGTTAAAATACTGATTCTTTGCAAACCAAAATGTTAAAGATATTTTTGGTAATTCCTAGAATAACCACACAAAAAAGTACAAAGCTATATAAGCAAAAGTACAAGAGAAAAAAATATATAATGGATAGTAAAAAATGATCAAATAAACAAGGTATGACAGGAGAAAGAGAAACAAAAACAAAGAGACCAAACAAAATAAAATGGTAGTTCTAAATCCAAACATATCAATAATTATTTAAATATAAATGGTCTAAATACACCATTTAGATGACAGATTGTAAGAAAGAATTTCAAAAGCAGTCAACTATACGTTGTCTAAAGGAACTCACCTATAACAAGGAAAAAAAAGAGGAAATAAACATAAAATGCAAAATTAATTGTAAGAAAGTGCCAGGCAAAGTAGATTACCAAGCAAAGAATATTACACATGGATAAACAGGAAAATCACATAGTAATAAAAGTGTCAATTCACCAAGAAAACAGAATTATTGCAAATGTCTATGCTTCAATCACGAATACTTCAAAATGGAAAAAATACTGACAGAACTGAAAGACGACAGTTTCACAATTAGAATTGGAGACTTCAACATTCCTCTTTCAGTAATAGATAGTAGTAAGAGAAAATCAGCAAAAATGTAAAATAACTGAATAATACCAACTAAGCGGATCATACTGACATTCATAATAGAACTCTACTCAACAACAGCAGAATAAAACCCTCTTTTTTTCCTTTTTTTAAAAAATGTTTTTATTGATTTTTAGAGAGAGAGAAAAAAACATTGATGGGCTGCCTCCTACATGACACCCACTGGGGGGGATGGAATGAGCACTGGACAGGCTAAAACCCTCTTTTCAAGTGCACAAAGAAAATTTACCAACTTAATCCATATCATAAACCTGAGTCATAAAGCAAAGCATAGCCCAGCTGGTGTGGCTCAGTGGATTGAGCGACGTCCCACAGACTGAGAGGTCCCCAGTTCAATTTCCTGTGAGGGCACATGCCCAGATTGTGGGCTCAATCCCCAGTAGGGGGAGTGCAGGAGGCAACCAATTGATGTTTCTCTCTCACATGGGTGTTTCTATCTCTCTCTCCCTTCCTCTCTCTCTCTAAAAAAAAAAGGCAATAAAAACATATTTTTTAAAAAAACAAACCATGAAAAATGTAAAATATATGAGGTCATACAGTGTATGTTCTTTGACAATAATACAATTAAGCTGGAAATCAACAACCAAGGTAACAATTTCCAAATACCTGGAAATTAAACAACATACTTTTAAATGATTCATGGCTAAAAGAAAAAGTCTTAGGAGAAATTAGAAAAAATGTTTGAACTGAACAAAAATGAAAATACAACATATCAAAATTTTGAGGTTATAGCTAATCTAAGTGTTTGGAGGGAGATTTATAGTTTTTTATGTTAGAGAATAAGGAAAAGTCTCAAGTCAATAATTTAAATTTCTACCTTAAGAATCTAGAAAAAGAAGAGCAAAATAACCCCATAGCTAGCAGAAAAAAATAATAAGAGCAAAAGTAAATAAAATTGAATATTCAACAATAATAAAGAAATCAATGACAGACACAGTTGATTTATAGCTGGAATGAAAAAACTCTTAGTCTCTGGGTATGCCTGGATCTGATTTCTGGCTCTTGGACAAGATACGAACAGTTAGATTTATGATTTCACTGATTAAGGTCTGAAACTCCCCTGGGATCTCAGGGTGGGTTTCTTTACTGGGGGTTGGCAACTGGCCTAATTGGTCTACAAGGTTAGCTTGTTTAGATAGGCAAGGGGGACATAAAAGGCATGTGGAGAGTTTCTCCTCTAAGCTCTCCTAAAACCAGAATTACTCTTACAGCTCTTGGTGGATCAAAGGTGTGCAAATTATGGCCCTTGAAGAGGATGTTTCTCAGATGCTTTTCAGA